AGGTAATTTGTAAATAATCTTCTATCAGAAGAAAAAATTCTCGTGGGTCATGGTTTACAGGTACTTGCTCTAGATGCTCCAGGTATTAAAATCAATTTTTAATGTTGAAATAATCATAATGAATCAATATTATCAAAGTCATCTTCGTAGGTAAAAAACTATTAGCACCTCCAGGTTATTTAGGTATCTACAAATCAATATAGTGTTCTTCAAAATATTCTGAAATAATTGTACCTCTTTAGATTTATAAAGATGAATGTCTATACCTAATTCTTTATTTAAAAATCTAGAACACCTAGAATAATAATTATAGAAGAAAAATTACTATTTATTATATACCTAGAGGACCTGGATATATAATTAAAAATATTTAGCTATGAAGATGATGTCCACAATTTCGATGGAATTATAATAATTACGCTTTATAATACAATCTTGAATACCTAGAACACTTGAAAAGGTGAATAAAAATGTTTACCTCTGAAGATGCTGTCCAAGAATGTTATTCTTTTGAAATGTATGTGCTCACTTATATGAGAAGGGTTTACTTAGAAATCCATTCACAAGATTAAAACGTGTCCATGTAAAAAAATTAATTTAATAATAATTTTGCATCTACATAATTATTATATAGGTAATTTTTATATTAGCTAAGAAAAGAATAAATATGGACACCATCCCCACGAGTCATGGATTTCAGCTATTTGCTCTAGATGTTCCAGATATTAAAATCGATATATAACGTTGAAATAATCGTAATGGATCAATATTATCGACGTCATCTTCATAGGAAAAAAAATATTAGCACCTCCAGGTTTTTAGGTATCAACAAATCAATATAGTGCGCCTTAAAATATTTTAAAATAATCGTAATTATAAGAGTGATAATTTACTAATTTACTTTTTGATGATGTCACTTATAAAAATGTCTAGAACAATGATTGGAGAAGTAAAATCACTAAGTTATTAAATTTTTCGTCCTATTAAATACCTGGAAGACCTGGAGATATAAATAAAAATGTTTAGCTATGAAGATGATGTCCACAATTTCGATGGAATTATAATAATTACGCTTTATAATACAATCTTGAATACCTAGAACACTTGGAAAGGTAAATAAAAATGTTTACCTCTGTAGATGCTGTCCAAGAATTTTATTCTATTGAAATGTATTTGCTCACCTATATGAGAATGATTCACTTAGAACTCCATTCACAAAATTAAAACGTGTCCATGTGGAAAAATTTAATTTAATATTAATTTTGAATCTACATAATTATTATAAAGAAAAATATGGACACCATCCCCATGGGTCATGGATTTCAGCTATTTGCTCTAGATATTCTAGATATTAAAATCGATATATAACATTGAAAATGATCGTAATGGATCAATATTATCGACGTCATCTTCATAGGTAAAATATTAGAACCTCCATGTTTGTTTTTAGGTATCTATACAAATCAATGTAGTACGCCTTAAGATATTCTTAAATAATCGTATTTTGATTTATAAGAGTGTTAATTTACTAATTTACTCTTTGATGATATCCCTTATCAAAATGTTTATAATTCTTTATTTTAAAATGTTATGTCGATTTGAACATCTAGAACACCTAGAACAATGACTGGAAAAGTAAAATCACAATTTTTTTAGATTTTTCATCCTATTAGATACCTGGAAGACCTGGAGATATAAATAAAAATATTTAGCCATGAAGATGATGTCCACAATTTCGATGTAATTATAATAATTACACTCTATAATACAATCTTGAATACCTAGAACACTTTGAAAGGTGAATAAAAAATTTTACCTCTGAAGATGCTGCCCAAGAATTTTATTCTATTGAAATGTAGTTGCTCACATATATGAGAAGGATTCACTTAGAATTCGATTCACAAGATTAAAACGTGTCCATATAGAAAAAATTTAATTCAATAATTGTGCATCTACTTAATTATTATATGGTTAATTTTTATATTGGCTAAGAAAACAATAAATATGGACACCATCTCCATGGGTTATGGATTTCAGCTCTTTGCTCTAGATGTTCCGGATATTAAAATCGATATATAACATTGAAATAATTGTAATATGGATCAATATTATAATATGGATCAATATTATCGACGACATCTTCTTAGGTAAAAAATATTAGCACCTCCAGGTTCTTACGTATCTATAAAACAATATAGTGCGCCTTAAAATATTCCGAATTAATCGTATTTTAATTTATAAGAGTGATAATTTACTAATTTACTCTTTGATGATGTCCCTAATGAAAATGTCCAGATATAATTATTTTAAAATTGTATGTCAATTTGAACATCGAGAACACCTAGAACAATGATTGGAGAAATAAAATCACTATTTTATTAGATTTTTCGTCCTATTAGATACCTGGAAGACTTGGATATTTAATTAAAAATGTTTAGCTATAAAGATGATGTCCACAATTTTAATGGAATTTATAATAATTTTGCTTTGAACTATTGGCAAAATTAACGACTTTATCCTCAGTAAATACTTTGTTTACATCTCCGGGTATTTACAAATGTCATAATCCATATCTGCATAATTATTTAGGTAAGTTTTAAATAATCAACTATTTATTTTAGAAGTTCCAGATATTAAAATCGATATATAACGTAATGGATCAATATTATCGACGTCATCTTCATAGGTAAAAAAAATATTAGTACCTTCAGGTTATCTAGGTATCTAAAAATCAATATAGTGTGCTTTAAAACATTTTGAAATAATGGTATTTTGATTAATAAGAGTCTTAATTTATTAATTTACTTTATTTTAAAATTTAAGGTCGATTGGAACATTTAGAACAATAATTAGAAAAGTAAAATCCCTATTTCATTAGATTTTTTATCCTGTTAGATACCTAGACATAGAGATATAATTTTAAAAAAATGTTTAGCTATGAAGATGATGTCCACAATTTCGATGGAGTTGTATCTAATAGTTTTGCTTTGGGCTTTGGGCATGATTATCGACATTATTTTTATACAATATGTGGGATAAAGAACGGCGCTCATGAATCGCCTGTGATTGAACAGATAGATTCACCTCTACCACTAGTGGGCTGTCGCGCGCTGTTCTACCTCTGTCTAATCAACAGCATCGCTTATTCTATTTCGTTCTTATAGCGGTATTGTGGGAAACTTAACATACTGCAGGTAAATATTATTATTTAGTACGTTAAGGTATTCAAAATGTAAAACAGATACCTACATAATTAGGTATATAGGTAATTTTATTATCTTCTACGGGAAAATTGTCATATATAACGTTGAAATAATCCTAATCATACCAAATGAAGCAATATTCTATTATAAATTGATTTCCCGTTGTACTGTAGCTCTGCAACTCTTACAGACAAAGCTGGACGTAATATTCATAGGTAAGAACATATTAGTACCTCCAGGTTGTTCTAGGTATACAAATTAGTGCTTCAAAATATTTTGATATGTCGTAAAAAGCTTTTGTAGAATCCTTATTGACTGAAAATATTTAAATAATAATAATCATAAAAATAAAATCATAGACACCATCCTAAGGAGTCAACATTTTCATATACTAAGCCTTATATAAAGAGAAAAATATATTGTATAATATAGAAACTATAACATACTTAAGTTGGTTTCTGTTCTTACTGAACGTTGAAGTCTCCTATATATTTATATATTATATCATACACATATAGCAAACTTCAATGTTCAGTAAGAACAGAAACCCACGTCTCCTATTTATTTATGTATTATATAAATATATAGGAGACTTTAATGTTCAGTAAGAACAGAAACCCACTTTAGTATAAAACTGCTGAAAAAACTAAAACAAGTTAGTTTAATTTAGCAACCAAACATAATATAAACCAACAAATCAAACAAAACATAAATCAATCGATATCTTAAGTATTATCAAATCGATTAACTTTAAGCGTAGGTAAATACGTAAAAAAACAAATTTAATTAATTACCAATTCAAAATATCCCCACTATCGTCTCCCAATCAATGGCATTTAATTATTGACCACACCCACTACAAGAAACAATTGGCGATGCTCGGTCACGTGGTTTTAATATCAATGCAAACGTATAACATAAATATACTTTAAAAGCAGCCAGGGGTTAAAACAGATGAAGCTCAATTGGTACACCTGTAGGTGTCTATAAAGAATTGTGTGCTAGTGGGGCAAGGTGCGGGGTCAATGACATCACCTGTCAGTAAAAAGGGAAACTGAAATAGGGTAGGGTGTTTCAAATTTTCACATTTATTGTATAGTTTTACGAATTTGCCATATAAAGCCATCTATTTATTACTTATTTATATAAGGCCAAAATATCGTGAAAATAAAATTTTCTTGGACACCATCTCCGTGGGTTAATGCTTTCTATTGCCTTCCCAGGTGTTCTATGTATTCAAATCGTTATAATAAATATGTTGGACATGATGTCCGTTGATAAAAATTCTCTATACTTTCATACAATTGTTCTTGATATTAAAATCGTTTTAATTAATTGAACGTAATATCTGTTAATTGTTAATATGCTTTAATTGCACCAATAAACGGCACAAATTAGTGATATAACAAAAAATTCCGAATTGATAAAAATTATGGACACCATCTCCGTAGGTAAACATTCTTCATGACTTGCTCTCCGTGTTCTGGGTATTAAAATCTATTTAAAAAATTGAATATAATCTGAGGAATGTGTTATTATTTTACAAACCCAGTTTTTACTATTTTTTCTAATTTGTAGGAATTTAAATTCACTAAATACAGAATTTTTTAACGTATTGTGATGTGTCAAGCCAAATAGTACCTATCTAGGTATATTTACGTCATCTGAGATAGAAAATAGGCTGAACTTAAAACAAAAATAATGCAAAATAAAATTTCCCACTGCAATTTGTAATCTGAAACCCAACACCTGCACAGACAAACAAGCCCATGTCCATAGTAAAAAAGATTTACCTACAATTACATTATTCGCCACAGCATCATAATCCATAGAAACAGCGGGAAAGTAAAACCAGAACCAACTAACCTATCTGCGACGTACTATGTAAAAACTCATTATCACGCGACGCGATACATCCCATCTACCTGTGGAACTGGTACTGACCAGCATCTCATCACCTGTACCTTACCAGTATCGTTAATACCCAGATCTACCGCTAAAGGCGCTACCTACCAGTGTTTTCCGTACGTGCCCCGCCCACATAAAGCCGCTCGGTGGGGAACGATACGCCTACTGAAACCCGCATTTGTTTCAGCGTGAACCTGCTGACCAATGAACGCGAGGGGATGTTGAGCCACGCCTTTAGCGGGAGTTTGGGAGATTTGAGATGCTTGAGAAAATCTAATAAAGGCAATTATAATTGTGTAACAATGCCTGAGGGTTTTTGAAGTCTATGAAGACGATTATTGTTGGCTTTGAGATTGTGCAAATGGAAATGGTTTCTTGTTGGTATTAAAATATTAAAAATGTGATTGGTTTTGTTTAGAATTATTTTTGTAAACGTGCAACTTGTTAAAGCGTTATTACGAGAATAGATATACTTATTGGGATTCGCTGTAGCTGTAGCTGACATAATATTCAAAAAAGTTTTATTTGAATAATTATTGAATTTCATTTCAAATTATAATTTCATTTAGTTTTGGTTAGGTACCTACCTGAACGTTCTGGAGAAATGAATGGCTTTTCTTTATTCATAACGATGATGTCCACGAAGGTGATATACATATCCAGTACCTTTTTCAATCAAATTATCATTATGTCAGAGGTTAATGTAGTTTTGTTATAAATATTACTCTTGGTGGAAATAAAAACCTTTATAATAGGTACGATATTTATTATATGTCCAAGAATTTTATGTTTCCTATTTTATAAGAATTTCCCAGTTTTCTTTAAAAAACTTTGAGGATCGTGAGAGAAGTTAAAGAGTGGTTTTAGTGGGTTAAATTTTTGTTTTTGTTTCAAATTATTTGATTCCAAAACACATTTGCCATAATTAGTTGACAAATAAATGGTAGAATAGGTACAATTTCAATAACAAACATTTTTTTTTAAGTTTAATATCGACTTGTGCATCTAAAACACCCATGAAGATGATGTCCGCGAAAATTTCGTCAGATTATATCCACAGTATTTTAATTAAATTATCATTACTTATTTTAAAGACCTTTGCATGTTTGTATACTTAAAACACCTGGGGAAGTAGTTGAACATTTGTCTATGAATATGTAATAAAAATATTGCGTACATACCTACTAAATCTATAAAGTTGCCTGGCGATAGGTATAAGAATAAAATCTTTGAAGAAAATGTTCATTCAATCAATCAAAAATTTTGAAAATTAGAAAGTTATAGTTGAAAATTATGGACAGCTTCTTCGTGGTTCCTTATTTCAGGTAATTTTTGTAGGTGCTCCAGGTATCTAGCACATTATAAAATTGTCAAATAATTATAATTTACGTGAAAAAAATGGACGTCTTCTTCATAGCTATAAATTTATAGAAATAATAGACATCAAAGGTAAGGTAAGTAGGTAGATTTTAAAAGTATTTCTCCTTTCGTTCTAAATTTGAGTTAAAATCATAATTCATAGAATATTTTAGACGTCTTCTTCATAGCTAAATACCAAACGCCTACTAAGCAAATAGCCCACCAGGTAAGGAAAAAAATGTAGGTACAACAACAAAAATCATTTTAATTTATCACACACACACACAGTAATTATAATTTTTAGATTAAGTAGGTAATTTCTCGTGATAGTGGACATCATCTTCAACGGTCTATACATTAAACGATTTTCTTCACTTTCCCTAAGTATCAAAATCGTCATAATTCGAGAAATAAATTACAAAAATATTAAATTCTTGAGATGATGGACATCATCTTCAGAGGTCAACATTTTAAAAAACTTCCTCCAGGTCTCCTAAGTACTTAATTCGGCATAATTCGTTAAAAAAATATGCAAAAATAGATTTAGGTTTTGAAATAATGGACGTCATCTTCAAAGGTCTACACTTTAAACGATTTTCTACAGTTCCTCTAAGTATCTAAATCGTCATAATTCGAGAAATAAACCACAGAAATAATAATTTCTTGAAATAGTGGACATCATCTTCAGAGGTCTTCATTTTAAAATACTTCTAGATCTTCTAAGTATTTAAATCGACATAATTCGTTTGAAAAATATGACAAAATTAAATAATTATTGAAATAGTGGACATCATCTTTAACGGTCTACACATTAAACGATTTTCTCCACTTTCCCTAAGTATCTAAATCATCATAATCCGGGAAATAAATTACAAAAATATTAATTTCTTGAGATAATAGACATCATCTTCAGAGGTCAACATTTTAAAATACTTCATCCAGATCTCCTAATTAAATCGGCATACTTAATTCGTTAAAAAATATGCAAAAATAGAGTTAGGTATTGAAATAATGGACGTCATCTTCAAAGGTCTACACCTTAAACGATTTTCTCCAGTTCCCCTAAGTACCTAAATCGTCATAATTCAAGAAATAATTCACAGAAATAATAATTTTTTCAAATAGTGGACAGCATCTTCAGAGGTATACATTTTAAAATACTTCCTCCAGGTCTTCCAAGTATTTAAATCGACATAATTCGTTTGAAAAATATTACAAAATTAGATAATTATTAAAATAGTGGACGTCATCTTCAAACGTCTACACTTTCAACGATTTTCTCCAGTTCCCCTACGTATCTAAATCGTCATAATTCGAGAACTTTATTACAGAAATAATCATTTTTTTTAAAATAGTAACATCATCTTCAGAGGTCTACATGTTAAAATACTTTCTCCAGGTCTCCCATAATTCGTTGAAAAAATATGGGAAAATTAGATAATTATTGAAATAGTGGACGTGAGAAATAAATTACAGAAACATTAATATCTTGAAATAGTGTACATCATCTTCAGAGGTCTACATTTTAAAATACTTCCTCTAAGTCTCCTAAGTATTTAAGTCGACATAATTCGTTGAAAAATATGACAAAAATTATATATAATTATTGATATAGTGGACGTCATCTTCAAAGGTCTACACTTTAAACGATTTCCTCCAGTTTCCCTAAGTATCTACATCGTCATAATTCGAGAAATAAATTACAGAAATAATTTCTTGAAATAGTGGACATCATCTTCAGTGGTCTACATTTTAAAATACTTCTTCCAGGCCTCCTTAGTTTTTAAATCGGCATAATTCGTTAAAACAATATGGCAGAATTGGATAATTATTGAAATAGTGCACGTCATCTTCAAAGGTTTACACTTTAAACGATTTTCTCCAGTTCTCTTGAGTATCTAACTCGTCAAAATTGGAGAAATAAATTACAGAAAAATTAATTTTTTAAATTAGTGGACATCCTCTTCAGAGGCCTGCATTTTAAAATACTACCTCCAGGTCTACTAAGTATTTAAATCGACAAAATTCGTTTAAAAAAATATGACAAAATTAGATAATTATTGAAATAGTGGATGTCATCTTTAAAGGTCTACACTTTAAACGATTTTCTCCAGTTTCTTTTAGTATTTAAAGCGTCATAATTTGAGAAATAAATTTCAGAAAAATTAATTTCTTGAAATAGTGTACGTCGTCTTCATAGGTTTACATTTTAAAATATTTCCTCCGTCTCCTAAGTATTTAAATAGACATAATTCGTTTGAAAAATATGACAAAATTAGATAAATATTGAAATAGTGGACCTCATCTTCACAGGTCTACACTTTAAACGGTTTTTCTCCCGTTACCCTAACTATCTACGTCGTCATAATTAGATAAATTATAGAAATATGAATTGCTTGAAATAGTGGACATCATCTTCAGAGGTCTACATTTTTATACACTTCCTCCAGGTCTCCTAAGTGTTAAAATTGGCATAATTCGTTAGAGAAATATGGCAAAAATAGAGAATTATTGAAATAGTGGACGTCATCTTCAAAAGTCATAATTCGAGATTTAAATTACAGAAATAATAATTTCTTGAAATAGTGGACATCATATTTAGAGATCTACATTTTAAAATACTTCCTCCAGGTCTACAAGTATTTAAATCAACATAATTCGTTTAAAAAGTATGACAAAATTAGATAATTATTGAAATAGTGGACGTCAGCTTTAAAGGTTAACACTTTAAACGATTTTCTCCAGCTCTCCTAAGTATCCAAATCGTCATAATTCGAGAAATACATTTTAGAAATATTAATTCCTTGAAACAGTGTACATCATCTTCAGAGGTCTACATTTTAAAATACTTCCTCCAGGTCTCCTAAGTATTAAAATTGACATACTTTGAAAAATATGACAAAACTAGATAATTATTAAAATAGTGGACGTCATCTTCAAACGTCTACACTTTCAACGATTTTCTCCAGTTCTCCTAAGTATTTAAATCGTCTTAATTCAAAAAATAAATTACAGAAACATAAATTTCTTGAAATAGAGGGCATCATCTTCAAAGGTTTACATTTTAAAATTCTTCCTCCAGGTCTCCTAAGTATTTAAATAGGCACATTTCGTAGGAATAGTATGGCAAGATGGAGAATTATTGAAATAATGGACGTCATCTTCAAAGGTCTACATTTTCTCCAGTTCCTCTAAAAGTATCTAAATCGTATTCGAGAAATAAATTACAGAAATATTAGTTTCTTGAAATAGTGGACATCATCTTCAAAGGTCTACATTTTAAAATACTTTCTCCAGGTCTTATGTTTAAATTGGCATAATTCGTTGGAAAAATATGACAGAATTAGATAATTATTGAAATAGTGGACGTCATCTTCGAATTCTATACTTTAAACGATTTTCTCCAGTTTCTTAAGTATCTAAATCGAGAAATAAATAACAGAAATATTAATTTCTTGAAATAGTGGACATCATCTTCAAGAGGTCTACATTTTAAAATACTTCCTCCAAGTCTCCTAAGTATTGAAATTGGCATAATTCGTTGGAAAAATATGGCAAAAATAGAGAATTATTGAAATAGTTGACGTCATCTTCAAAGATCTACATTTTAAGATCCTTTCTTGATTTCCCCCTAGGTATTCTA